AAAAAAAAAAAAAAAAAAAAAAAAAAAAAAAAAAAAAAAAAAAAAAAAAAAAAAAAAAAAAAAAAAAAAGTTGAATTTGAATTTGGATTCACTACTACAAACATCTCTCCACGCGCAAATGTATATTGTCATCATTATTTTTAAAATGGTGGGCAGAAAGAAGTAATTATAAGCCTTCAAAACCATCAACAACTAAACAAGTAATGATGAAGTTCAGAATGTTTTTCTTTTCCTTTTTACACCCAAATCTCAGTTATAATAATAATAATAATAATAACTCCATTTTTTAACACAAATTTCTCCTGTCTCCTTCAATGCAGAAGCTATTATCGTTGTACACAAGATGATTGTAGGGTTAAGAAACGAGTAGAGAGATTAGATGAAGATCCAAGAATGGTGATAACAACATATGAAGGACGACACATTCATTCTCCTTCCCATGATACTCAAGACTCCGAACCTCATACCCATCTCAACAATTTCTTTTGGTACCCTCTCTCTCTCTCTCTTTCTTTAATTTTTTGAAGAAATAAGGAAAGTAAATGTGGATGAACACTTGCAATTTTGTGGGTCAATTTTATATGTTTTAGATGAACAAAAGTTTGGTTTATTGCAGGTAATAATGAAGCAAAAGAGGTGGTGGAAAAAGAAGCAAAGAGATATGCATTTGATTTGGTATTATTTTGTTTTAGTTTGGGTTTTGTTTAGGGTAATTTTCATGTAATAGCTTTGGTTCTTTTGTCCATCTCTTATCTTCCCTTCATGTGTTCATAATGTAAGGGAAAAGAGATGGAAATGAACCTTAGTCATGTCTTGTTCTGTATTTCACCCTTTTTCTTCTTTCTTTTTCCCACTCTATTTGGTATATCTTGTGGTTTTTACTTATCAAATGGGAGAAGAAAAGAAACAATAGGTTTTCTTTTATTCAAGAAGTTTTGAAGCTTGAACGTTAAGAATAAAAAGCTCTAATACCATATTAAGAATGAAAAACATTAGTGAAATCAAAAGTCTAAGAAACAGAAGTGGGATCAAAAGTTCCAGTGGGATCTTTTCATCCCACTTATGTTTCTCGTTATTAACTATATTAAATCCTCAAGAAGTTTCAGCCACACAAACAAAGTTGATTCAAAAGGTAGCTACAAATAATAAACCAAAACTGGAAATACTCAAAAGGGTTTAGTATATAGAATTTTATACCCCAAGTTTGTAGGAGATTGGGTTGAACAATTATCTTCCCAAAATTCCTCGAATATGTTCTTGAGTTAAGATTTTTATCAAAATTTGAGTCCCTAGATATTTGGTAGTACAAATTTGAAGAAATACATATTATTTTGATTATTTACAAATCTATGAATTTGAAGTTGATTCAACCGTGAATCGATTATTAAATTCATTCTCGCTTATGCAAATTAAAGTATAACAAGAGTTTATAATTCATTAAGATTAAGATCGAGTCATATGTGATTATCTTCATAAAATATTACCTTCTCATTTACGAAGAGAGATTACGTATATTTTTGTTGCATTCATATTCCTTTAAGTTGTTGGGAGGCATGACATTAACTTTGTCCTCTTGCATCAACATGCATCTCAGTCCTTTCTCTGAGACATCGTTGTACACCCTGAGATTACTTGAGCCATCTAGCGCTGATATGGAATGAACACAAGAGAAAATTTTGAAACAGATTATCTTGATGATCAAGATTAGGAGTAAAGAAAACTCGTGATTCGAATCACTCTACAAGAGGTTTGATCAATACTACTGGAATGATTCTAGTATACAAATTCTAAACATAAGAATTTGGAAGGTAAAAGCTTAGCTCTCAACAAAGTTAAAATTGAAATTCTATTATTTTCAATTCAAAAAATGTGATATCTACTAGAAAGAAGAGAAGACTTTATATAGCCTTCGACAACCTTAAGATATGTGACACATAAACTCCCTGTAAAATTGGTTATTCATGAGAAATACCCATAACCTCCGTATTAAAATGACTAGTTAATGATGGAATATGGTAACATAAGTGGGTTACCATATAACTTTAACTCATATATTAAAAACTAGCTTAAATATGATAAACAAATATTTAAATTATAATTAAATAATGCAATAAATGAAATGGACTTATTAAAACTAGTTTCATAAATTCAAATATGAGTTCATTAAATGCAAATTAAAGTACATTTAATGCATCTCTATCTTGAAGCTCAACTTTGCACAACATATAAGGAAAGTCTTCATCGTCTTCTAAAATTTTCTTTTACGAGCTCACCATAGCTTGAATATAAGTGTACAAAACTTGTTACAACTTCTTGGCTCTCGTCTTTGTAATTGGACCTTGAGATATGAAAATTTCTTGGTCGTGGTTCATATCAAGCACAATGAGTACTGGGCGAAAACCAACCTTTCGTTACGCTTCTGAAAAACTTTGCTAACAAGTTGCTATCCATGAGAAGGTCTTACCCATCCTAGTTAATTATGGAGAACTTATGTACAAACCTTTTGTAATAGTTTACTAGAACTTTCACTTACACTTGGTTATTGAGGTTGACCTTCTAAGATGATCCTAATGATCTACATCTATCATGGAGTACACAAGTATATCATCAATGAAGCAATGATGAACGTATCAAGAAAGTCCTTGAATACCTAATTCATCAAATCAATAAATGTTGTAGAGGGATTTGTCAGGTTGAAGGACATAACGATGAATTCATAATGTCCATAATGGCTTTTGAAGAAGGCTTTTGATATGTCTTCCTCTCTAATCCTCATTTGATGACAATTTGATCTAAAATCATTTATCTTTGGTAGAGGGTACTTGTTCATGATAGATCTTGTTTAACTCTCACTACACACAAATGTATAGATCCATTTATCCATTTATCCATCTTTATTCTTCACGAACAACACAAGAGCTATCAAAAGTGATTCATAGAAACGTATAAAGCCTTAATCAAACAACTTCTATAATTATTCTTTCCGTTTCTAAGTTTAATTGGCATCATTTTATAGGGTGCCTTAGAGATCAACGTGATTCCTAGTCTAAACTTAATCATAAAACTGACTTTTCTAACTAGGGAAACCATAGCAAACCGTCTAAAAACACATCCTCAAACTCTTGACAACTAGTAATGAGGATATAGTTCTTCCAGCTAGAAATGCTCATGCATCGCATCTAATCAACTTCTTGCCCTTCCTATGTTCAGCAAATCTATCAAAGTCGAATAACTCATATGTTAAATAGTCAAATATAGGTACGATACCTATAACAACTGCGTCAAGATAGTTTTAGACATCCAAAGTGTGAGAATCAAGGTCCTCAATGTCATCGAGTAAGTAAGTAGCCACTTTGAACATTTTTTTTAAAAACAATTCTTGTAGAAATTGTTTGGATTGACCTAAATCTTACGATAAATAAGAATTAAAGAAAAATGAAAGATTTAAGCCAAGAATCAAGAGTAAGATATAAACCAAGCTTTTTTTCTCAAAAATCATAAGGTTAAAATAACCTACTACGAATTTTAAATAAATGGCCTAATACCAAAAAAATTGAGGGAGATAAGAGCATGTTTAAGGCTTAATCAAGAATAAGAGTAAACTGATCAAAATGTCTAAGGCTTAATCAAGAATAAGAGTGAAATGACTCAAATGTCCTTGTATGTCAATAAATTTTATATAAAGCCTATTTTCCTAAGGGTAAAAATGACTAGATAAGATGTAAGTTTATAACCTAAATTAAGATGGTTGGAAAAAGACCTAAATACCCTCAATTATGTGAAATTTTACATAAGACTAAATCATGCTAATTCGAGACATTATGGATGACTGTTAGAACGTGTTTAAGGTATAAAGCAGGACTTGGATGGAAAATAATGAAAATACCCTTTAATGACCCTTTTATAAAAAGATAAAAGGTAATACGATATTGTGAAAGACCTATACATATTATTATGAAAGGTTTCATATGGTTATGACTCGTATACTTGGATTATACATGGACTAGGGCTTATGAATGTCAAGATATGACTTATGCCTTAAGTTTTAACGAGCTCTTAGAGTTAGAACCCGAAGAATCTATGCCTAATAAACCTTAGAGGATATTTTAAGGACAAAAACCAAGCCTAGAAGGTTACTCCTCGGGAAGACACAACCCAAGCTTTAAGCCTACCATGACACTAAGATCACTAGGTTTAACTCTATTTAGACCTGCTTCATGACCTAAAGTCACTCTAGACCTCCTATTGATCGGTACAATATGATTACATGTTTTTTCCACCAAGGTGGGATGTCTTAACCATGTTTCTTGTAGGATGTCTGCTTTGCAAAATGTCATGACTGAATACTAAGTTACAGGGGCATATGAAACCCTAGACATAGGTATCAAAACTGTGTTGTAGGGGTAATACGAAACCTTGAACTTGTACAAGAACTCATACTATGTTGCAAAGGACGCATGAAACTCGAGACATAGGCTATATCACCAGGGATGCATGAATCCTCAAGAATAGACCAAGTTCATGTTGTTCATCAACCATAGAATCCATAAGGTCTCTCAAAGAATATCTGAGGGAAGGGCTAGGTCTAGTGCAATGCATGGTGTATGATCTGGACAAAAGTGTAATACTCTAGTATCCACCACAAACACGATTAAAAGCCTAAAAGTATGCTACTTACTAAGTTTATACTCATTTTAATTTTTACATGTTCTTTCATGCAATGACTCGAAGTTGGTCAAGAATAAAAGTAGATCTGGAGCAAGTGTCTTAGAGAGTTAATCCTCGAGCGTAAGCCTCCACTGTTTTGTGTCTAGTAATATTTTGTGTCCACTTTTATTAGTTATCTTCCATCTCTTGTTGCTAAAGTGTAAAAACTTTATGGTATTTTCACAGAGTCAGACCCCATCGTTATCCATGCTTTGGACAAGCCTAAAACATAATTAACTTTGTCAACGAACCATGGTTCATTGCCGACACTTGCAACAATGCTTCATTCAATAATTTTTCTTGAATTTATTCTTGTGCATGGGCGATAGCAACGTTACTAAGGCTTGATTGGCGGTCTATTACTTTGTTTTTTGTTCCATTCCATCCTTTACTTTCATGTCGAATTCTTGTAATAGGAGTATCCATCTAATTGGACATGGCTTTGCATCATTCGTGTTCATCAAGTATTTCACCGCCCGGTATCTAACATTATGACCAGAAATTTAGTCCTGCACGGTCTAAGCAAACATATTGATGATCGTTTCCATTTCCTCCATGATTTAAGTAAAGAGGAACTATGATGTTACAAAATGGTCATACTAAGCAAGTGATTGATATCATGACAAAACCTTTGACTCGAGTTGTGTTTGAGAAGTTACGCATGTTGTTTGATGTTTGTCAAGATCCTGAAATTTGATCTAAAGACTACGTCATCAGTTTAAGGGAGGGAATGTTGAAAAAAATTTAATTGCTTTTTATGTTTTAGTTCCTAATATGATCTTACGACAGATTCTTTGTTTTGGCATGATATTCTGCTCTCAGATAAGATTTTATTTTTATCTTCGGTTAAGGATTGTACTTGCTATAAATATAGTCATCCTTCACCTAATAAATATTGAATTCTTTTCCTTTTCGAAACTTATCTTCATTAAATTTAATATAGAAAATAAAAGACTCAAATCTATGTTTCATCAAGTACAAATACCGGTGAGAACCATGTTAATAATGATCCATTTCGAATATTTCAAAAAAATTTAGATGAAATTTACCGATCTATGACATACCTGCCTAAATTACGTCGAATTGAATTTCAGAACTACATAAGAGAGAGACAAGTTCTATAACCCATTCAAAACGAGGAATATTGTCTTATGCCGCAAGACAATATTTCAAATGATGATATTGTTACTGATGACATGAAGACCGACGAAAAACATTATACAAATATTATACAAATACATGTGCTCTATGTCCATTGGAGACAAAAAAAAGTGAAGAAAGTGAAAAAGAGAAAAACGGTGAGGACGAAACATTTAACATGTGTACAGAGATTAAAAAGAAAAAAGAAAGAAAGAGAGTTCTATCACTATTGTGAGGAGAATAATGTATCGTATACGAGAAACGACAATAACACATAAGTGAATGGACTTGTGAATGGACTTTCATTCTAACAAGGAGCACTTAACTGAGTGTACCTATTTTTTCTATTGAATTCTTGCGGGAAGTTAAATTTTTTATTGTAATGCAAGATTCAATTATTGATCACGAACCCAAGCCAACATTGAGCTCATAGAAAAAACAAGATCATGGGCTATCTGTGAAGGGGCACTTTCATTTCACTTTTAACGTTTCTTGGAATATAAATATATCTAACAAATACAATATCTATTGACATACCATTTAGTAGATAAAGTGATTTCATAATATATTTGAGAATTTGATATCTAATTTTGACAAATTTACGATACTATATGCATGGATTTGGACTATAACTATTTATTTATAAAAGAATTCATATCCAAAACAAAAAAAATTAAAGATGTGTGATGTTTTTCCAACAAGAACATGAAGGGTCACTTAAAGTTGTTTCAAAGTTGAAGGAGTAGCCTAGCAAATGATAAAAGTATAGGGATGTGGCCTTGTTTGAGTGGTCCATTTGGAAATTGGGTTATGGTGTCTATTTGTTCGACAAAAACAAAATTAGGTACGAGAAAAAAGGGCACAAGGAAGCTACGTTTGTCCAACAAAAGGGCACAACATCATGTGATTATGCTTTCACTATGTTTGTTTTACATGAACCAATGAACCACTGAAAGAGATGGATTGGATAGCAACTATTTGGCAGCCATCAACAAGTTGTTGAGTTGCATTGTTCTTGAAGCTTCCCATTTTTATCTAATGGAATCTCAAATATAATACCTTTTATGAACTATTCAAAGTTCATAGGTTGCATTCCAAAACCAACATACCTATCCTTCCTGGGAAATCCATAAGTCATGAATGTCTAATCCGCCATTCATATTGTCTCACCAATTAGCGCCTCAACTTAGGACTAGTTTTTCATGATATAGACAAAACAAGCTACCCTAAGTCAATAAAACAATATAGTTAGTTCACCCACATCTAAGATTCTTCGTCCAGTAGATCTGCGGCATAAGAAATGGGTGAAACACTTCTTAACCAAGAGTGAAGTTTATGAGCGGCTAGAGAATTGCTTGGAACTCTAAGGCCTATTCAGATGCTCTAATAGCAGTAGAGGCTAAACCCCAACTTCCTAAAGCCTAGGGTAAAACTTGTGGTATTCACTAGGTTAAGGATACAATGAGAGCCTACAAGTAGGTTCTTATTGAGTATTTATATGTTCATCCCTATCTGATTTCTTTTTCAGGTGTACGCAGGCTGTCGATTGAGATGGGGAACATTCGAGAGTTACGCAATCACAAATTGGGTCGTTTTGGAGCATCAATCTGCTTTTATGTTTAGAGTCATTTGAAATTCATATGGTAATTGTATCTCGATCTCGTTTTTCCCTTTGAAATAAATTTGAACAACATGGTCTTATAGTTGTTTGTATTTAATTTTGGTGTTATTTATCTTTATTCCAAGCTCACCAATGGAAGGAAGAATCGCGTTCTGGATTTAGTTGTTGACCAAGGAAGAAAATACAAAATTAGCCTCAACCACGTTAAGTCGTCTTCTCAAGTTCATTCCTCTAGCTTAAGTGAAGTATAAGGAAGATTTCTGATGAAGGAAGCATGGCCTAATACTGCCTGTATCGTCCTGCTCAATAACTAACCCTCTGAGTTTGCTCCGGTGACAAACCAAGTTTCCTCTCAACTTTGGACCACCATAATTTACGTTGTAGTCCACGAACCGCCCATGTCGATGGAAGATGATGATGGGGCCGGTTCAGCTGAACCACCCACGTCGACCCAAATTTCTATCCCTCCTTGGTTTTTCATCAAATTGGACCCCTCTATGGCTAGTTCTCACAAAATTCTCAATGGTCCAGAAACCAGATATACTAAAGAAGCTACCAAAGAATATTTATAGGAAATCGGGTATCGAAAGCTCAAGAAACGAGACTCCCAACATCGGACAAGAGGTAAGTAGCCATCTTGGGCTTTTCTTAAGAAATACTTGTAGGGATTGCTTGGATGACTATATGAACCTTAAATTAGGTATAAAGAGCACATTTGGTTATATCTACACTATAAATCGAATAGGTGAGTTGGACGTCTAGGATTCAGAAATTTTTTTGCTCTTTCATCTACCAAGACTGAGTATGTGGTAATAACTGAAGCTAGAAAGGAGATCATATGAATGACAGACTTTCTAGAAGAATTAGGAAAGAAGCAGCACGAGAAGATTTTTTTTATAGATAGTCAGAGTGTCATACAGTTGGTGAGAAACTCGGTCTATCATTCAAAGACAACACATTAGAAGACGATATCATTTCACTCGCAGGTTAGTGGAAGAATGTGATATGTGTTTAGAAAAGATAGAGGTTGCAAAGAATCCCGTAGACATGTTGACAAAATGTGTTGGAAAATTGAGGTCGTGCAAATCACTAATGGTTGAGTTATGGACTTTGCTCCTTCCCAATTGTTATATACCGTAAGTGACTATTTATTAAAAATCTTTCGATTGTTACATATAGTAAGTGACTATTTATAGTAAAAATCTGGTAGAGATGGATAGATAATTATTTATAACAATTAGTTATAAGTGGTAAAATTATATATAGTGAACTGAAACATCTATATATATCCTAGGCAGTGCTTTCACAATGTACTATCTACCTTCTATTAGTCATGATATAAGCCTTTAGCCAATATTCAATATTCCTCTTACATTTTCTCTCCTATTATTTTTGTTCATCTAGATCGAGTGTGTGCGTTGTTGTGCGTTCTAACAACATCAACTCATTGACACTTATTAGATGTTATTTTTTGTAGCATCTCATAAGTTTCATGGTATGTCTTTGACAAAATAGCTTCATTGGTGGAAGCATCCACAACTTGTTAGCAATATTCAATCAATGTAAAAAATTTTCATTTGGATACAATGGGGTAATTCATGGTAAGGACACTTTCTAAGCATCTCTTTGAATCTCTCCTAAATTTCGCTTAGTGTTTCATCTTCCGACGCTTGAAAAGCAACAATCTCATTTATGAACTTGTGTTTCTAGTTGGTGGAAAATAAATGAACAAGAATTTCTCTGCTAGACTATACCAATAATTAATTGTTTCCTGTGCTAAAGTATTCAATCATGATTTAACATTATCCCTCGAACAATAGGGGAATAAGCTCAATCTTATCACGTCTCTATCTACTTCTTTGAATCGAAATGACTCACTAATGCCTAAAAATGGCTTTAGATGTAGGTGAAGGTCTTCTTATGGTAGTCCATGATATTGACCAATGGTTTGTAGCATTTTGAATCTCATGGGCTTTAACTCAAAAGTAGTTGTTTGCATTTCGGGTCTAATAATGTACGAATTTAGCTCTTCCACAGTTGGGTGTGCATATGCTCTGATTACTCTTTCTTTGTCATCTACTACATTAATAGCATTAGCAGTGATTCTCTATTGATTAGTCGATCTGCTGGATTTTCAAACTCCTGATTTAGTTAGGCTCCAAGGTTTATTTGCGGTATATTTTGTTGTGTCATTTTTTATTACTCTTGCAATTTTCACCTAAAGTCTCTCTATCTCGAGATCCAAAAAAAAAAAAAAAAAAAAAA